CGCTCGTTTTCATTTCATTTGTTTAACAGAGGGACACCAAAACCTGGGTAAATGCTGCCCAGAAACCAGCAGCCACAGCGGCACAAGCCCAGATGACAGATCTGTATCTTGGGGGCTGTACGAGCCAGAGGACGCCAGGAGAGATGGTCGCTCTTCCAGAGGTTTCCAGCCTCACTTCGTCTCCACCCAAACCTTCCTGCCAAGGCAATAAACCATCTCCAAAATCCTCGTCCACCAGGAAACATGGGTCATGCTTCTGTCCCCACCAAGATCCACCACCTGCTCAGGCTTCCTCTGGAGCGAGTTGTCCCATATGGAGACAGGGACTGGCATGGGACACCCATGTTTGCCATCTCATCACCTTCCCAAGCAGTCTGAAGGAAAAACTGTGGCCAAATTGTCCTGAAATCCAAAGTTGCTGGTGAAAGCACCAACCCAACTACCCTGGTAGATCCCTTATCTATGGCCATGGCTGGTTTTTTAATTCTGCTTTTTTCTTCTGGCTATCTTCTGCCTGCAAGGATGTCATCGCCCCCAAAATACTCTTCTTTTTCCAAAGGAAAAGGGTTTTGAAAGGCCTCCAACAGGGTCAGGCGTCTCCATCCTCCACCCTGGGGAGAAGGTGCCAGGAGGTGCCCACACCATGGGGGAACGCCCGTCGCAGCACTGCCAGCAGCAGGGACACACCAGCCTTAACCACAGCCCCCTGCCACCCCCACCTCCAACCAGGCATGCTTGGACCCGATGTGCTGAGCTGAGAGGAGCCAACAGGGAAAAGCAGATTTTGGGGGTTTGTCCTCTTCTTTGGACCATCACTGGCGGTTTCACTGTCTGTTGGCCAGCATGGTTGCGAGGACATAACCCTTCCAAGGGCATCTCCCCTTCCTCCAGCCCTTCCAGGGTGATGGGCTGCCGTGGAGCATCCCCTCGAGAGGGAGAAGGCTGCAGACCCATCCTGGTACCACCTTCCTCATCCATGTCACGAGAGCTGCAGACCTCAGCCAAGGGCTCTCAGCATTCCAGGACCTTGATAGAAAATAAAATCAATTCCAAATCGCTGAAGCAGGTGGTGGGCTGGAGACAGCTCCTGGGTCTCCAACCTCAGAAGGAACCTCAGGAGATCATTTCATCCAACCCCCATTCCATCTGTGCTGTTTCCTCCAAAGCAGGGTAGGGTTTTTTGGCCATAATTCCCCATTTGAAGAACCTCCATTCCCCTGCTGACTGCAGCTTTCCAGGAGAAGGCTGTTCCCTGTATGCACAAAATGTGGGAGCCCAAAAAACCACCCGCGAGAAACTACCATGTCCCACCGTGTCCCCATGGGAAGCATTGGACAAAGTCCCCGGCACCAGTGACAAGCTCCCCGCCGTGCCCACCGCGGGTTTACCTCCATCCCGGGGAGGCTGGGACACACATAATCCAGGGGCAAGAGGAGCAAGGGATGCCCCGACCAGCAAAAAAAAAAAACCCAGCAAAGCTCAAACTCCCCTGGGGACCACCCAGCCACCATCCCACAAGTGTGGTCCCAGTGGAGATATCACTGTTCGAAACGGCGCAGAGACTTGTGAAATTCCCTTTAAAAAAAAAAACAAAAAACAAAGTAAGTATTTATTTCTATAAAGAAGAGAAGGAAAGAAAAAAAGATTTTAAAGGAAAATTATATACTCAGCATGTTTATACACTCTATGCTTAAAGACTATCGTCTTGGAGAGTCGTGTCCGAAGACTGATGGTGGCTGCTCCAGGTGTGCCGTGTGCCCGGCCCCTCACCCGGATCCTCCAGGCCACGGGGAAGGGAAGGACAGGCTGATGGAAAGCAGGGGGAGATGTTGAGGACTCTTGAAGAAACCTTCTGTGCTCAGCAGCGAGGCTGGAGCTCCGGTGCCATCGGTGGCTGTGGCTGCTGGTGGCCACGGTGGCACAGAGCGTGAGTGGGTGTGTGACATCCCCGCCCCCCCGCTGCCGCGAGGGTTTTCTAAGTCACGGTAGAAGAACCTCACCTGAATTTGGTCATAGAGTCGTAGAACGGTTTGGGTTGGAAAGGACCTTCAGGATCATTCAGTTCCAACCCCAGCATCGCCAAGACCAGGCCAAACCATCTGCCTCCCCTTGGGGCATTCCCAAAAAGTCCAACTTCTGGCTTAGCAAAGCCACATTTTCACAAAAATCTTGCGATGACACAAAACCTTGAGCAGGTTCATGGGTTAGAAGATGGAAAGTGGGTTTTTTTTCCTCATTTTGCCTGGGCTTGGATGGATCCCTTCCTCCTCCTCCTCGACTAGGGATGAAGGTGGTGGCCCAGTGTCACAAGCTTGGAGGCAATGACAGCCCTGTGGCTCCTAATTGCCCAGGGTGTTCATGGCAACGAGCTCATTAACGGCTCTGTATTTCTTCCACTGAAATGTCATCTGGACTGTTTCCCTGCTGCTTTCCCTCTCCATCCCGCTGGCACGCAGCCCCGCTGGCTCGCCCACAACCCCCCATCGCCCACCCCAGCCCCACGGGCTGCTCAGGCGACGCTGCCCGTGGCGTAGGATTCACCACCTCTGTCATAGGGTTTCAGCTCCATTTCCTCTGGAAAAGATGGAGATGCACAGAAATACCAAATCCCTTGGGAAAGCCTTGAAATCACGGAGCATGTTCGGGTGCCGATAGGGAAAGGACAGCTGCAGAAGGAAGGGACAGCTGTGGTTTCTAGTGAGTTTGCCCAAAGTTTCCCCACAGCGAACGCTCACGGAATTCCCCTTCACTTGGATTCGGGTGCTGGTCAGGGATCTCAAGAAGAACATCATCAGTAAAACCAACTTGGGGGCCAAATTTATCCCGAATCCATGTTTTTCTGTCTCCCTCATGCGTTGGATTTTGCTCCTTGTCCATCACTCCAAGCCCCCAGGAGCTGAGGATGCTCCAGGGACCGGCTGCCTCCTCCTGCCTTCATCCCTGGGCCCCCAGACTGAAGGGGCCCAGGGGTGTAAGGTCTCCAGGTTGGCACCATCCAAGGAGGTTTTTAAACTTCTTTATCAAGCACAGAAGACAAGAAAAAATATCCCACCTCCCGCCATGTGTCACGCTCCCAGCTGCCACCCAAGGCACAGCCACGGCCACATCTTGGACAGCTTGTTTGGATCCTTCAAAAGGCTCCAAATTTGGTTAAAACAGAACAAAAAATCCCACAAAAAGTGTTGATAAAGGGTCTTAAAGCAGTTAAACGATGTTTCCTCCAGGCTTTTAGAGGAGCCCACCCCAGGAGCTGGTGCATCGCTTCGGCCTCTCATTTTGGGTTGAAAACCTGCAGGTTTGGGTGGAACAAAAGCATTTGGGAATCGGTGCCAAATGATAAAATGCTTTAAAATGAAAAGAAAAAAAAAAAAAAAAGAAAAAAAAAAAACAGCGGGAAGATTTCAGCAACCAGAGATGGTTTGTTTTGACCGAAGCATCGCGGGGTGTCACTGCGAGGCGAGCAGTGGCAATGCAGGACCTTCTCCGGTGGCAGGATGTAAAATAATCCCGGCAGTGGGTGAAATGGTCCCTCCTGTCCGAAGGAAAAGCTGCTGCAAATCCTTCTGCCCAAAAGCAAGAAAACTGCCCAAAAGCAAGAAAAACGAGATTTTCTGATCCAGCCTCTGGATTGAGCCCCATGGAAAGGGGGGACGAGGCGGGCTGAGGCCGGGGCCAAGTGGGTGCAATGGTGCGGGAAGGCAGGATGGCTTTTGGGGAGCGAGCGTGGGAACGCACACTTGCTTCGAGATAATCAGAGGACGCGCTCCCGCGGGGAGAGGGAGATATAGAGACTATATATATATATATACAGGAATCGCAATCGTTTCCCTGAAGCACTTCCTCGCAGCGGTGTTTGCTCCCCAGGAAGCTCAGCCTCCGGGGAGCGAGTTCCGAGGGGCCCTGTACAGTGACCCCTCCTCCTCCCCCCGAAAGGTAACAAGTTTGCCTCCTAAGTTATTTTTTTAAATCTCTATAAATTTAGGTCTATTTTAGTCTTTGGCGGCGATGTGCCAGTATCTGGAGAACCAAACGTCCCTTTTTCCCCCCCTCCCATCCCAGCCCAGCCCCACAGATCCTTGATGCAAAATCCATCAGAGGCTGCTGCCCTGGAGGAGGGGGAGCAGCAGGGATGGGGGCGCAGCCCAATGTGGGGTTGGGGGGGTCGGGGGAGGCACTGGTGGTTTTGGCAACAGGGTCCCAGGGCAGCCCGGCAGAGGGGGACTGGTGCCCGCACGGCGCGGGAGACCGTCTGTTGAGCACTTTGGTTGGGACTATCACCTGTAGACGCACTTTGATGTTGTTGCTTTGAGACTTTGCCGAGTGTAAACCATGTGTATTTAAAGAATTACAGAAAAAGATAAAAAAAAAAAGTGTGCAAAGAGCTATTTTATGATTCAGTGTTGAATAAAGACTCTTGAGATTGAAGCCCCCACCTCGCTCTACCAGAGGCCACACCAAACCGTGCTGGCCAGCTCCAGCACCAAACCAGGGAGACCAGTTGCTGTTTTGAGGCTTACTGGAAGGATCCCTCCTCCCACCTCCCCTCTCCCTGCAGGCACAGGGGTTTCAGGGCCTGCAGCCTCTGTTGGGCCAGCCCCAGGGGGCA